GGCGATCTGCTTCTCCTCGCGGCCTCCGTCGATGGGATCCTGTCGGCAGCCGGGCGGCGGCCGGACGGTTCGGTGAGATGAGAGGCGCTGCCGAGCGCGGAGTAGGCGCGGGGGGTCCATCGGGGATGGCTGGCGGCCGGGGGCGCAGACCCACACCGTCATGCTCGGTGTCGGTGGGTCCCACGGATTGAGCGTGTAGGTGTGTGGTCGTGAGGCTCCCACACAGCGAGTCCCGGCTCCCACGTGTGGAACCTCCGTGTGGGAGGCGTGTGGAACCTTAGCAAAAACCCTCTGCTCATTCAGACTCCATGTTTTTTCACGCGCGAAACATGCTAGCAATCGTTGCCCTCCTCCCCGGGCTCTCGCCTGGGCGGGCGCTGGCGCCGCCTCCAGCCAGACGCGTGCGGTGCGTGGCGCCGGCTATGGGCGGCAGCGATCAGGTCGACCCCGTGACTGCCATCGCCGGCTCCTTTTTGCGCGGCGTGGAGACTGCGGCAAAGGGCGTGAAGGAGACCACCGAATCGTACATCAACTCGGGCTGGCAGGTGAAGAAGCGGGCGGGTCAGCTGATCCCGGAGATCCGGCCGAACGCGGTCGACGTCCAGGCTCGCTCCGAAGGCATCGCCTCCCTCGGCGCGGCCGCGGTCGATGTGCCTGCGGTCGAGGGCGGCCTCGCGCGGCCGGCGCCGCCCGGCGGCGGCGCGCTGACCCAGAGCGACGGCGAGATGGCGGACGAGTTTGTCGCCTTCCTGTCCGAGTCGAGCGCCGTCGAGGGCGGCGCGATGCGCATCAGCGAGGGCGGCGAGGTCTGGTTCCGGTCGGAGCGGGAGCTGGCGGAGATGGTCGTCGGCTTCACAAAGGCGAAGCTGCAGGCTCTTGCCGTCTCGGCGCGCGCGCTCGCCCGGTACGTCAACGACCTGGAGAGCGAGCTCGAGGCGGCGGACGAGGCGGTGGTCGAGATGAGGCGCAAGCAGCAGGAGGGGCAGCAGGGGCAGGCCGAGGCCGAGGCGCGCGCGCGCAGGCTCGCTGCGCGGTCGACGGAGCTCGAGGCGGAGCTGTCTGCGGCGAGCCGCCGCCTCGCCGACTCGGAGGCGGAGGTGACGCGGGAGCAGAGGGCGGCGGAGCGGGCTGCGGAGGAGCTGATGCACGCGCAGGCTGCGCTCGAGGCTGCGGCGCGCACTGCGGAGCAGGGGGCGGAGCAGGGGGCAGAGCGAGGGGAGGGGGAGGGGGAGGGGGAGGGGGGAGGGGCGGCGGCAGCGGCGCTCGAGGCGGAGCGGCGCCGATCGGTCGAGCTCGAGGAGAAGCTGATCAGCGCCGAGGCTGCGGCGCAGCGCCGGGAGGAGGAGCGGGAGGAGCTCGGCAGGAGGCAGCGGCGGATGGAGGCAGAGGCGGCGGCGGCGGAGGCGCGCGTCAGGGCGGAGGCGGCGGCGGTGGAGGCGCTGGAGCAGCAGCTGGGCGAGGCGGAGCGGCGCGCGGACGCTCGCTCGGCGGCGCTCGAGGAGCAGCTGTCTCCCTCCGCCTCTTGAGCCCCGGCTCTCTTCTCTCTCCAGCATCTCTGCTTGTGATTCTAGGAGCAGCTGGCCGCCTCCGAGGCGGCGGCTGCCCAGATGCGCGAGCTGCTCGGGTCGCTGCAGCGCGCGGAGGGGGGCGGGCCGGCGGGCGCAGCGGGGCAGCCGGCAGCGGGGCAGCCGGCAGCGGGGCCGGGGGCTGACCCCGGCGGCGCGGTGTCGGAGGCGACGCGGCTCTCCTCGGAGCCGTCCCTCTCCTCGGAGCCGTCGTCGGGCGGCCCGCGGGCGGACGGGGCGGAGGCTGCGCGGTCGGCGCTGGCGGAGCTGCAGGAGGCGCTCGTCGCGTCCGGGGTGAGCGAGGCGGCGCCGGCGGAGGGAGGGGCGGAGCCGAGCGGCGCCGCGGCGCTGCGCGCCCTCTCCCGGATGAAGAAGAGCGAGCTGGTCGACGAGTGCCTCTCTCGCGGCCTGCTGCGCGAGGGCGAGTCGCCCGGCACCGTCGCGGAGCTGCGGGCGACGCTGCGGGTCGAGCGGAAGCGGGACGCCCTCATCGGCGAGCTGGTCGAGCGCGGCTTCGCGGCCTCGCGGGCGCGGTCCGCGCTGCAGGCCACCGGCTGGAGCCTCGACGCGGCGCTTGCCAAGCTCCTCAAGTGAAGGCCGGTCAGCCCGGTCGGTCCGGTCGATCCGCATGGCCGCGTCGTACGGTGGCGCCCCACGCAGAGCGGTGAGCTTTGAGGGGGTTCGCGCTTGATGCATATATGCGCCGGAGCCTCTGCAGCACCATGAGAGCCGCGGGGTCACCCGCGTGTCGACTCGTGTGAGCTCCGCCGCCCGGCCCCGACCGCGAGCCCCTATGAGCGGGGTGGGTGGGTGGGAGGGGGCGGTTTCCGTCCCGTGTAATCCCGTCTGTGTCCTGGATCCCAACTTTTCCGTCTCTTTTACTTTTTATTCGTTGTTCGAAAACGTGAATAAAAAATATACGAAACCACATGGCGTACTCTCTACTCTGTACCCACCTCCCCGCGCGGGGCCGCTCCGGGGCGACCCGGGCGCCCTCCGACCAAACTGCTCTATTACTATCATATAACAGTAGTACTAGTCTACTCAGTTTTGCTTTTATCTCTTTCGTTGGATTACACACAGTCTGACGGTGACCGAGATGTGTGGCTCGTGGCTCTTGCTTCGGCGGCCAGGCGGCCTGCCATGACGGTTCGCTCACCTCCTCGCGCCGCCTCCCTGGGTTCGGACTTTTTGCGGGGTATGGTTCGGACTTTTTGCGGGGTAGGGTCGGCGCCCTGGCGCCGCGACCATACCCCCCCACCCGCACAGGACGTCGCCTCTGGCCAGCAGGACCATACCCCCCCACCCCCCACCCCACCACACGAGCGCGTTCTGTCAACAGGTAGGTACTGTCTCCCGTATTCCATAATAACGGTTTCTAAACCCAGAGTGTCAGAGTTTGCACAATCCTTTGTTGGAGTTTTCGACTTCCGTCCGTTCGCTTGGATACAGGGTGCTGAGAGCGGCCGAAAGGCAACTCCCCAGGATTCAAATTCCGCTCGCTGTCTCACATCTGTGGTTCTGCTAGATAGCGACAGGCACCTAATCCCTGCCCTCCCTCTAACCCTGCACAAACACGGTCGGGGACATGTTTCTTTTTTGCCCATCTCACATAGAGGTGTCCGTTTTATTTATTTATTACCCTCCCTCCCCTTGCACCTCCCTCCATTAATTTTCCCCCTCCCTCCCCAGCCGCACCTTCCTCTCCAGGCAGCCAACAGCCCGGCGCGCACTGCGCGCTGCGCACTGGGCACCCTCCGACCAAACTGCTCTATTACTATCATATAACAGTTAGCGTCAAATTCTGCCGTTGTAAAATTCTTCTCGCTAAAGCGAAACGAAGCACCGCCTCGTACGCGTGCCCGTGGCCCCTCGCAGGACCGACCCCTCCGTTTCCACTTTCGGCGAGCTTCTGCTGCGCCAAGTCATTCCTACCTGCACTCCGTCACATCTGCGCTGCACTACACTTTCTTGCATAGGTTAGACATACCCATCGCCGACAGATGCAGAGAATTGACGGTTATGCGCAGCAACGCGTCGCCATATTCCCACCCAGCGTTCATCCAGCTTTCACATCGTTCCCGTCGCTCCTCACCTTGTCACATATGTACCTCTCCTCCTTCCTCTCTCAAAGCCTCTCGACACACACATGTCCGTCCTATCTGACCGCCTCTTCCCCTCGGACGATCTCACACCAGGTTCCTCACTTCCGCCCAGTCTGCCTCGTTCTAACAGCTGCAGCTCACCACTGCAAGGCAAGCGGCGGAACTCTTCGCGGCAGGTCGAACTGCGCATCTCC